CAAGAGAAGACACGCGAGAGAGTCATCGCGCGGGCGAATATAGGATTTTCTTGTTCCCGCAGTTGCGCGCTTCTTTTCCATTCAGAGCGTCGTTCAAGGTATCTCCCAAGTTCCATCGCTGTTTCTCTTTCTCTCCTACGCGGCAATCGCACGGGATAGGAATTTCCCGTTCGGTCCAACGGGAGTTCGGGGTGCACAGCGATAACCATCACCGTATAAAGAATATTTCTCTTGTTTCGAGAGATACCTAAAGAGTTTCTCCCGCAGCTTTTGCGACGTATCGAAAGAAACGCGACGGACGAATCCTCTTCTCCTTTCGAAACTCCGATACTGCGAATTTTACGGCAAACTTTTTACAGCGCTTCGCAAAATAAGGCATTCGCGGTACCGATGGCCGTCGCATCGTTTTTCGTTTTCTCGAGATGCAAACTAGTCGTTGAATTTCCAAGTTGAGAAATTTCGGTTCCACATTCATTCGGAAGATATCCAGTTTGGAGAACCAACGGAGAATCTCGGAATATAACACTATAGAGACTATTATCGTTTTACCGTGATGCTACGAACGATTATTTAATATCGTTTTCTCCATGTTGAGACTTGAAAAAATATTTATTCGAGAATCATTAATATTCGACTGTCTCAGAAGCAATGTACGTAATCGTGTAACATATTCAACTGTAGGTAAAAGATATGCGATAAAAAAGCAAATATTAAATAATTAATATAGGTAAATAGAATTATAAATTCTCTGTTTTCATAATTTTATTATTTCTTTTCTTAGCGTTTAAAATTTCGATAAGATTTGAATATTTATAATGAACGAGAGAAAGAGTCGTAAGACCAAAGATAGCAGCTGTGTAAACACCATGAAGAATTTGGATACGGTGCAATAACAAGGCTAAACGAAGGTTGGCAAATTCAAAATTAAACACGCTCGAACGAATATTATTCAACAAGTTTCAGTACTTGAAAGCCTTCTATAGGCTTCTATAGTCAGTATTATATTTGTGAATTATTTATCATCTTTGACTGGAAGTATAATTAATTACAAATTCGTGTTTATAAAGTAATTCGATTATTTGAATTGTTCGATAAAGTATCTGAACTTTCTCATATTAGCGACCGATTCTTCGTAAATTCGCTTAAAAAGCTAATAAAGATATAAAATTTATAGCACGGTACTGAATTGTAGTTTCTCCCGACATATCGTCTATCAATTTCAATATTTGTTTGCAGAAATATTATAATTTCTATCTATAACTAGCCCCGAGTGTGTCGATTGCTCGTCTAGACAAGAACTACTGACAAATTCGATTATTCATGTTTCCAAATACAGCTCTGATGCTTACTATTAATGAATACGATGAGTAGAAAAGACAAGAGCAGCCCTACTTTAGACCTGAACAAATCTGAATAACCTCGCTGCGAGTCACCTGTCTAGCGCGCGGAGCGCTTGAATCCATCCAATCTACAAATATACATACAAATATTTATAATTTTCCTATTTTTCGGCGAATCGACTTATAACTACGCCAAAACATTCTCGAGTCGTTACACTTTAAAAATATGTGAAAAAAGGGATTTCGATTTTCTTCACCGTTCTAGGAATATATTCCCCCTTGAGATAATCAATAAGCACCGTCAGGTGATAAGCAATACTGCACAGTTTTCGCAGAAAGACAGAGAGGGAAGAGAGCCTCGAAAAAAAAAAACGCGTTACATCGAGCCGAGCTTTTCCTGTGCATTATCGCACTCTCTCTCTCTTTCTCCCTTTCGCGGAATGTGCTGCACGCGCACGGGCATCACAGGGCGCAGGTGGTGTTAGACGAGGAAACAGCTGTCCAACCTTCCCCTTCGTTCCCTTCGGCGGTTAGCGCGCACAACTTCTGCCGCCTCGGGTCGCTTTTGTTTTCGGCCCGTCGTCGCCGTCTTTCTCGCGTTCTCCGGCGCGTATCAGCCGCGCGCACCTTCGCATCGATATTTTCGGCCCGATACTTTCGAGGCTGTGCGAAGCGGCGAGAATTCACGCGCCTAAGTACCCTGCTTCACCGGCAACGATTACCGATATACCCGTCCAGTTACGGCGACTCGTGGCCATGTGATCGCGCCGGTGGCATCGTCGTAAGCACGGCGGAAGCCGGCCGGCCGGCTTTCGCCGGCGGCTAAAGGGAACGAGACACAACAAGCGCGAGTTAGGCGAGCCCGCACGGGTAAGAGGCGCGCGAGGGAAGAAACGAAAAAGCCCGCGCACCGTTGTGCCGGCGTCGGCGGCGGCATTCTAAATTTAGGAGGAAGTATTGATTTTACAATTTGGACCCCTCCCAAAGTAAAAAATAAACCAAGCCGAACGTACTCTACTTTGATAGAGTGCCTCTCCTCTGCGCGGCTCGTTTCGACGCACAGGCCGGAGAGAGAAAGAGGGAGACGCGAGGAGCGAAACAGAGGAACAGGCGGAGGAAGAGGAGGCGGAGGAGGAAGAGCGGCGGAGGAGGGAGTCGGCGAGGGGAAGAAAGAGGGTGCTAGCACGGCCGGGCGCGGCAGGGGGAAGGGGGTAATAAAGAGGAAGGGAGGCCGGTGAGCGGGCGGAGAGAAAAGAGAGTGGCGAAATGCCGTAGTTCCACCCCGGTAAGAAACAAAGAACAGAAAATTGATCGTTTGTTAAGTTTTATGTTCCTACGGGGCAGGCGGCGAAGCTCGCTCGTCCGTCCATCCGTCCGTCTCCTCTCACGGCCCTTCCTCCTCCACCACCACCATCGTCTCCTCCCTCCTCCTTTTCCCCCATTCCCCTTGTTTGCTCCACGCTCCTTGTCCTTCGTACCGCCGCCGTGTTCCTCCCTTCTTCCCTCTTTCGCCCGACGTACAATAAGACGAATCGAGGAAATTCTGCACGGCGCGCTATGGGAAAAGAACCAGGAGGGCACGCAGAAAAACGCGAACGGGGAGCGAAGGGAGAGAGAAAGAGAGAGAGATGGAAGAGGGACGGAAGCGGGCAGGGGTGAAAAGGTAGGGGAGAAAGAGCGGCGAACGAGAGACACGTGTACGCGAAAAAAAGAGCAAGTCTCGTCCGTGGAAACCGGACGGGATTGCATTCGTCGTCGTCTGCTACAGATCGTCCGGGTTTTTTGGCTGGGAATAGAATTCAATTATCAGGAGTTGGTCGTCTCCATCGAGTGGTGGGAAAAAGGGGAAAGGGGGGACGGGAGGGCTGGCGGGTGGCGGATAGCGGATGGCGGCGACGTCGGTGGTTGTGGTGGTTGGTGCCGCCGCCCTTATTACGGCTCCTCAGGTTTCCGGTCGCGTTTCATGTACACGACGCGGTATACACGCAGAGTTACGTGTCACGCGCGATCGCGCGTCACCCACCTTCGATGAGCACACACACATACACATCAGTTGTGATCTATTCGCGGCTATAATTAGCGGCGAGATAACGGCCGAGATGATGCGCGAACACAATGCGGTCTTGTTTTCGCGGGGCGGTCGACGGTTGCATCGGCGCGGTTAACCGTCGAACGCGTGACTCGTAGAAGAGGCGCGCGAACTCCCGGGATCGGGACAATCGTATAATTGCGTAACTGATTCTAATGGAATACGCTTCGTGTCTAATTTGCGTGTAAAACTGAAAGAGGCATACAAGCTGCGCGCGCCACCGTATTGGAAGCGAATGGAACACGGTTACGCAATAACGCCAGCATTCCGTGTTGCAAAATCTGCTCCGGGTTAATCGAGATAGGGGAAAAGTAGGTTGTTCCGAAAAGCGATTATTTAAGATGACTTGTCGCTCGGTGATTATGGTTGGCATAAAATCGTGAAACTTTGATTACGACGTTTTTTGCTTTGAATCTCCCCCCCTCTCTCTCTCTTTCTCTCGCCCTCTGTACCCAAGCATATGCCCATCAAAGTATACGGAGATGAAAAGAAGCGTTCCTGGGACCATCGCAGGCTACGACACCCCGCGCACATCAAAGACTCTCGAGAAACTGCTGCGCGGCGTAATTTGTTAGCGGAGAAGCTCGAGGGAATACGCTAGTCGGGGAAAATGCCACTTTCCGAAATTGCGCGGCGGCTCTTTTAAAATGCAACCTAATATGTGTGCAGTACGATATATTTGATCTCGCCGATGAATGCCGGGCGGCCAGCGTTTCGGGAACAGTTCCGGTAATTTCGAGAAGTGGTACTTTTCCCCCTCGCCGGGCGAAAAATCCGCGCGACGGTGCGGTACGCCCTGTATGTATATATATCGACGGTTGAAAACGTCATTTCGCAGCTCGCTCGACACCGGAGTTCCAAGTGGAGACGGGATTTTCGGCGTTACCCGGCGTGATGTGGCAATTAGCCTCTTCTGTGTTACCGAAAACCGAGTTAGACATTTCGTCACGATAAGCGAGTTTTGACGAGCGACGAGGTCGCGACGGCGAAGTTCTGATTAGCGGCGAAGTTCGTTTCGGCGAACACGCAAGTACCCGTTGCTTTGCTTCGGGGCTAAATCGACTCGATTATTTTAATTGAAAATTGACAAGATAACTCTCGCGATGCAGCCCCGCCGCGCTCGTTCCGCCTGTATATATTCGAGATGAAATATCGAGGAAAATGGCAATTTTATTATATATTTCCCGTAAATCGAATTGTGAAATTCCACTTATCGAGTTTCAGTCATAAATCCAATTTCACGTTACAGCGAAATTCCGGAAATCGAGTTTCCGCGTATCCTGAATCACTCGCGACTAATTTCTCGATTTCGCGACGGAACTTCTTACATCGGCGACTTTCGAGCGAAACGCAGTTGTTCCACGCCGCGAGCCCGCAGATCGTGCGCGTTACGTCACCGTTACGGAGAAGAGGAGCGGAGGGAAGGATTACTAATCAGTCAGCTAATGCATCTATCTCGATTTACACTGTGATCGAGCGGACGAGCGAAATGAAGTCACCCGGCGAATGAAACTGCCAAGTATAACCGGAAGACGCGCGTTATCGTCGACTTTGCTCCACTTCTAATTTACCTTGTGCGCTCGTAGCGTCTTGCCCTCGCAGGCGAGCGTGACGTCGCAATAGGCCTGCCGCTCGAGCAGCTGCGAGAACATGGTCTGCAGGTTGCTGTGATGGTACTTCCATCTCAGGCAGTATTGCTGCGGGAACATGTTGGATGATGATGATGATGAGCTCGTCGTCGCGGGTGGTGTCGTTGCTGTTGCTGTACAGCTTCGTTGTTGAAGCATGCGCGGGTCCGGCACCGCGGCGAACTCCTCGACCGAGCCGGCCACCGTAGCGCTTCCGGTTCACCGTACTCTCCTCGTCGCCCACCTCCTCCACCTCCTCCTCCGTCCCGCCAACGTCTGCAACATCGTGTCAAGGGGTCGTGTGAGGGGACAACCGTGATGTCGGTTCGACCGGACTCTCTTGCGAAATTCGAGGAGCTCGGATCAGATCCGGGCAGCCTTTTGGTCCTCGCTTTCGAAACGCGTGGCCGAAAACCCGACACGTTAGTATGGGTCTATGAGGCTCACACGGGTTTTCTTTCGCTCAACCCTTCCTCCGCAATTTTTCTGCAAAACGCTGTAACTCAGTCTTATTCCTTTATTGGTCACACTGATAGGAATTGTCGTTATTTCCGACCTTAATTATATCCTTTTTGTGGTTTTAAAAATTACAGTAGCAGCAACATGTAACGTTGTTGTCACTGATATTATAGGAAACATAGAAACATTTGCTAGAAAAATGATCTTTCTGATAATCATTCTTCCGCTGTGATGATTATAATTACAACTGTACAAAAATGGGTTAGATGTGTGTTTGGGAGTTTGACGTAGGGTCAGTCAGACCGGTTGGTGTGCGGTCGGTATGTAATTTGACGCTACAATTGAAATTATTACTTTCTGCATGTTAAATTTGCACGTTAACGTAAGTAAACATTGTGATTACGCGTATTTTCCGGAAATAATGAATAATAGTGTTAATGAATAACAGAGGTCAGGTAGCGTATAACGTACGCGGGCGCGTCCTGCAAAGCGCGGCCCTCGACGATGAGAACGTGGGTGACAATTTCGGAGGCGATCCCTCCGATGAAGAGGATAAACTATTTTTGATACTTTTACAACAAAAATATTTTTTCCTCCCATAAAAACACCTATTTTCGATACTTCAAAATACCCTCTTTCTGGTGGTCCAGAAAAAAAAATATGTTTTCCAAACGCGCACTAGAGTCATATTTTTTTCTGTTCGAACTATCTTTCAACTTCATCGTCCTACAGTTTGCAGCGGATCGAAATAATAAAAAGTAAACAAAAAAAAAAATTACGATTTTTTCCAAGTAAAACGCCACCTTTCGCGAGGTCACTGTCCAAATTCGAATTTTTCTCGGTAACTTAAAACTTTCCCTACGAATGCACGATCAAACATTAAAGCAGAAGAGTTACACTTTATTCCGGGATTTTCTCAACCTCCTTCTCTCCTCTTACAGAACTTACAAAAATCCCACCGAGTCATATTGACCTCGTCTGCGCGTAATTTTTCAGAAATGCGCGGTCGTAGAGTTAACAGTGTATTATCGATATTGCGCGCTTCAGCCAACCGTGGCGTTCCCCGCGTGGATGAATTCGCGTTAAATCGAGAGTGTCGCGGCCGAGAAGGCGTCAGCCGAGATAAATGCGAGCACTTACGATATCGCGCGAGCAGAAGCGGAATTCTAATCTGCAATTCCGACGAATTCGCGCGAGTGAGTTTTCGCCGCAACATACGCGCGCGCGTTGCGAATATAACCCAACCGGTCATTGTCACGATATCGGACCGAGCGGAAGTTTATCGTCACCGAAGGAAGAGAAGCCCCGCCGTGAGTCGTCGGAGATAGGATGACCCTGTGCGCGCGCGCGCGCGCACGTGTGAATGTCGTCGCGCTCTCTATCGTTCTTCGTTCCGATAGAATGTTTGCACTTCACTTCCCGCCGTTAAAGTGCCCTCGCCGCTCGTGCAGTTTTTATTTTATCTGAACCACACACACGTGCTTTTTGTCACGTCGAAATTTTGAAGCTCCTATCCCCCGACCGGTTGCCCCTCTTCTCTCTACTCACCTTTCGCAGCTCGATGCGCGCTCCTCGGATTCGATCAGATGGACTCGAGCGCCGAGAGAGCTCGTCCTTTCTCCGCGGAGACTTTCCGCCGCGGCAGCAGCCTTGCATAAACCGACGAAGAATCCGTATATTTCGTCCTCAGCGCGCCGCCTCCTCCTTAACACCTGTTCGCCTCCCTGAAACACAAACGAGACGGAACGTGCCGTTTTACTAACTTCGCCTCGTGCTTCCGGTGCCGGGGTGTCGATCAGCGCGCGATCGCGGGATTGACGGCGCGACACAATGCACGGTATGTATCCGGTCGTGCACGATGACGGAGAGGAAGAGAGAGAGAGAGAAGCGGTATATTAGATGAGTGAACACGATTGAGCCGGGTAGATTCGCGCGTCGCGCGCGGTGATAGAAACGTCGATACGCGAGAAACACTCGATTCGCATTAGCTCCGCCAACATAGCGCATTAAAACCGAGCGCTACAACAGCTACGATTTCGGCGCGATCAGTTTTCGATGAGGCAGGTAAATGCAGGAAAATACACCTTCCGCCGATCCTCACGTTCCCGTCGTCGCAAATAAACAGGGGGATCGTTTTCGCGTCTACCGCGTCGAAATGCGAGCTCGACGAAATTATATCGCGGCTTCACCCCTTGACACCGTAAGTCTCCGGGTCATTCTTTCTCTCTCTCTCTTTTATTTCGACACGTTTCAAATTCCGTTAATTCTCGTCCGGACAAATTAATCGGCATTATATTGACACGTATACCGGCGGGTGGGTTAAATTCTCTCCTTAACACTCTCGAAAAGTGAATCGTGTGCGTTTTATCAGGCCTGCGCGCGCACACGTGTTGGCCGATTTACACTGCGAATTCCCCGGCGGGTTTAAACGAACGTTCGCCGGACTCTGGCGGAGCGATATAAGAAATTCAAGAGTTTTATCGGGGCGTTTATCCGGGTGGATCCTTTCTGCCGTGTCAACGCTCGTCGATTACGAGGATAACGGGCGGATAACGATAACCCGGTAATTATTGTTAAATCGATCTCTATCCGCGCGGCGGTTTGACGATCGACGGTGGAAGTGCTGGGCGCGCTCCGCTCCTGATTTTTGTCCTCGCGTGTATTTCGTTTTCCTTCTCTTTCCAGCGAACAGATTATATGATAATACGGAACGGAGAAACTGTCCGGTGGCGAGAAACCGGCGGCGGTGGTGGCAAATGACGACCGGAGCTTTCACTGACGCGTTCTCTGCCGAGAATTTTCGATAGCTCCTTTTGCGTCCCTCCGGCCCGGCGAACTTTCACGTGGAGGACGAAAATAAATCCTTTATTCGCGCCGAGGCGTCCGAGTCTCTCTTTCTCTCTCTATCTCTCTCGCTCCTAATCCCCTTAGCAAGGACCGAGCGAGCAGCCCCGAGGTCGATTGTTATAATCTCAAGGAATTAGCCGCCCATCGCAAAACCGTGTATCAAAACAAATATATTTTGTAAGGGGATGAAAACTGCAAGGAGAAAAAAGAAGGTGGTGATCGCGCTGTTACCGGGAGAAGCTTTTTTCCTTTTTTCGGAAATCCGTATCGACCAATCGGCGCGCAGCCACCTTCGACTTTCGCCGGTGACTCATCGCGGCCCTCCTCTCAGGGCCGAAAATATATCGGAGACGATTTTTGATCGGGTCTCAAGGTCGGCACGCGGTGGTCGTTGGCAATTTCGCCGTGTCGTCGTCGTCGGCGAAAAAAGGCTTCCGCTGGGGGAGAAGAGAGGGGAACAACGAGGCCGGTCACGTTCGATAGAGCTCGAGATAACGACCGCCCATATCGTGGTCGTTCCTGGCTTCGAGGGTAAATAGAAAGAACGCCCGAAGACTATCAATTTTTAAGTATCGTTCACACACGGATTAGCGCGGTCGCGCAGCAGCGTAGAAATATTGCGCGCGCCCGTTCTCGCGCTTACCACGATTCCAATCTCCCGTAATTCGATCCTCGCGTTAACCGTTCGCGCTCTGATCGAAGTTCCTGTGCGAGCGGCAAGTTTCGCAAATGTTCGCCTTTCATCTCGTCGACAGGAATCTTCGGTCGAGCGCGCCCCCCGACACGCGATGATCCCCCGGTCGATATAGACGGTGGGTCGACGTAAAACGCAGCCGCGACATAATGCTACAACCTCGTATTACGACGTGGCGGGGCGGCTAAACCCCGTGTGAACGACACTTAAGTCCACTTCTTGCCGTATCGATTAGCATAAGTGACACGATGCGCGCGGATACCGGGCGAGATATCGACAGACACCTGTCCTCGTCGTCCTCGTCGTCCTCCTTATCGACGTTCGCGTTGTAATTGAAACATTTACATCCGAGCGGTGTAAAACCGATAACGAAAAAGCAATTAGAACAAATTTGTGGGAAACTTGATTCCGCAAATCCGCGCACTCGACGGGGCCCTTACGGTCGTCCTTGACGCCAGCCCGAATGTGCATTTACCCGCGGCATTCCGTTGCATTTTGTACGACATCACACGCACATCACTCGTACATTCGCGCTATTTTAATAGTTTATGGGGCGAGTTTCGCGAGGTGTGCGCGTGGCCATGTTGTTCCGAAACGATGAAAATCCAAAAGCACAAAGAAGGAAACAATGAACGATTGTTTCGCGAATTAATTGTACAGAGAAAGGTACTCCGTAATCGAATGTACATAGTTTTTTTCCGAAGTAACGAGGTATTTTACGAAGCATTAACTGCAAATGACACGTTGTTTCATTTCCATTACGGCAAAACGAGAAAAAAACAATATGCGCAAAATACCGTTCCTTTCCAGTGATTCGTCTGGAAAAAGAGAGGAAAAAGAGAGGACTGGGTAGGGGAAGAAGGGGGGGGGCGACCGGTCGCTTCGCGTTTACCGTGTCATTCGTATAATTTTCTACGGTATTTTGAAACGCGTGTATCCTTCCGAAAAAGAAGAGCAAAAGCGGAGACACGCAAAAGGACCAATGGAGATATGTGTGCTCCGAAAATTAAATCCGCAGCGAGAAAAAATGTGGTCATTTTACATTTACATGCCGCGTAATTCCGTCCCGGTCGGGAAAACAGCGGCGACGTCGATCAACACTGACGGAGAGAATCGCCGGAATGTTAATTCGCCGAGCGCGCGCGCGCGCGCGGCAACGAACGACGCGCATTATTGAGCGACGAGACCGTCGCGATAATTCGTCGATTACGGCCCGACGTTTGTCCCGGCGAAACGGGAATGCGAGTGTGTATGCATACGTATGTGCGTGTATGTGCGCGTGTGTGTGCTCATAAAGAAGAGACGGACGACTTTAAAGAGACGAGAGCGCGCTCGACGCACAGGCAGAAGTCGTAAAAATATAATTGCCGCGCGACTGTGGCGGGAGAGAGAATATATACGCCCTGGTGTGCGACGTCTCGCGGAATTAAGACGCGAGAGACTCCCGGGGTATTTTTCAGATACAGCCGTAACGGCACGGTCGAAGAGTCGCGCGGGTTACTTGTTCAATGCGCGGAGTCAATCGAACAATAATGCCCGGCGATACGTGTAATCTCCCATTTACTTTCTCCGGATAATGATAATAATAATAATGATAATAACGCGAAAACGCTCATTAGGAACACGAGCCCCACGTTGCACGGGTCGTGGGAAAGTGGTTTCACGTCGTCACGCCGATACCATTCCGTTCCGTACGAATAACCTCCAGTATTATTATTATTCTTTATCTATTTTCGAATGGGACAGCTCCTCTCATGGTGTGTCACGGGAAAATTTCGATAGGTTAGCCCTGACGTCATCGATACACCTGTGGTGCGGCAAAACGGGCGAACCGATGTCGCGGCCGTCTTAAATGACGGCGTTTTCCGCCCGGCCAGCCGGATATCGGAGATTTTTGTCGCGACTCGGTCGAAGGGAGGGGGAGGGGGGGGGCACGACGAGCACACAGGGCACTCGCAGGTATTCAGGCTTCAGCTGTGTGCGGACGCAAGGTACAACGCGCGCCTCTCTCGTTCGCCATCCTAGATTCCTCGGTACTTTCTATTGTGTTTACGGATCGCGTCGGAGTACCCTTTCGCCTATGAGAAAATGCCTCCTCGCTCCTTCTCGATATCTGCTCAGCCGCAGCAGCGGCAACATCGTCCTCGCCGGTACAACCTCTCTACTTCCCCTCTCGTCCCTTTTCTCGCACCTGCGTGATAATAGAACCGATTTCGCAGCCGATATCGCGCTGATCGACGTTAAACGATATCACTGGCTGCTACAATCGCCGTTGACAGGCGTTTTTTTAAGCCCGGCTCCCCGCGGATAGCTCGATCGGTCCTCCGGGCGGTCACTTGCATCCACCCACGTTTTTTACACGATCGAGCGATCCTCCCGCGAGTCTGTGTGTTACGCGTTCGTCGCGGTGCATTAACGTCGCCGATCAACGGTCTCCGGCGTCCGCGAGGTACTGTTATAATTCGCGTAATAGAGACGCGTCTGTGATCGTAAAAATAGAGCCGAGAAGCATGGGAATACACGGTCATTACGGTTGCCCGCGTTCTTACACGGCAGAAAGCAATTTTGCACTTGGCTCGGTGAAGCCGGGTACTTGTTGAAATTTTTGCGTTAAATTCCCAGCAGCATGTTAATTTGACGGGTTAATTTAATATATTATGTTGACCCAGCACTTCTTTTTTGTTTGCCTTGCGTCAATATTCAACGCGTTATGTAGAATGTTAAAATAACACATTTTACACTTCGCTGCCGTTTAATGCATTAGTTTTGCGTCAATTTTTGACATAATATTTGTATTATTTTCCAACACGCTCGCCCCGTGCTGAATTAACGCAAAAATTTAAACGGACCCGTGTTCGGGACGTGTTAGATTTAACGGACAATTTTTTACTGCGCGCGCGGGGAAAGCCACGTTTCGTCGTATCGCGCGGCTATCATCACCGCTGCGCCGCAGGACAGGATCCCATCAGCCGGCTAATTTCCCCTCCCGAAGACCGTCCTCCGTCGAATCGATAGTAAGATCCCGATCGATACCTGTTTCTTGACGCCACGATGAGAGACAGTTATTAACTTGCGATCGATCTTTCATCGCAAATCGCCATTCACGTCGCCGCGGCTCGATCGACCGACGCGCGCTGAGCTGCGTTCACCTGGGATCGCGGCGTACGAATAAATCCCGTCTTC